GTGGCGGGGTGCTGTGTAGCAGGCTGCCCGAAGGCAAGCGCGGCCATAAAAGCCGTGCTACCGTACCAGTCTGATGTAGACATGTCTAGCAGACAGGTACGGGGGATCGATAGCCCAGACAGGGTGCTAAGACCATGTTCTGGGTGGGTAGAGGGGGCGAATGCCGTCGAGCAACATTGTGCTGAGCGGTGGGTAAAAAGCGAATTGGTTTTCTTGTGATCTGGCATCATAGCGTCTAGTGCATGAGCAGCAGGTGCTCGTAGTACTGCCAGAGCCGAGCCCATTAGAGCGAGGAAGAAGTGTGTGAGCTGGCAAAACGAAGTGAACATGCGAACCACGTGCCAGAATCCCACGACCCATCCGCTGGTCGCGGTTTTGAGGTCAGCGGAAGGGTCGTGGGATTCTGGGGCCACATCAATGATGTCGCACCCTCTTTATCGATCATCGGCAGTTATTGATAGTGCCCTACTCTCGACCACCATTCACGTACGGCCATCTCATTCCTGCTCATGGCTTCATCACTTGGTGTCCCCTTTGATCTGAGTGTATACGACCCGCACGAGGGCAGGTCGGCCATATACGTGGTGCTGAAGGGCTTCCAGCCTGGCTGTACCGACAAGTGCGTCATGCATGACAGCCTTCGCCTTCATTATTCGACTCAAGTGCATCGTAAGACTTGGGGCTATCCTGTCTACGCGCAGGATCGAGGGATCTCTAGTTGTCTGTATGAGAAGTGAGGCGGAGGCACTTGATCTCTGGCGCAGGGAGTTGGTCGCAGGCAATAGTGTTGCTTGTCTCGGAACAGCGTCCGCGGAGGAGGTGCGCAATGTCACAGCCATGGTCATTCGCCGCTAATACAGTCCATCCATACATGGCAGAGATTAGTATACACCTCTAAACTACGTGAAACTCTCCTTCCTGCTTCGCGTCTACCTCCCGCAGACGCGCCCAAGAAGAAGGCTGGAAGCACACGCGTGCCTCTACAGCCACCGGTAAAGCGTACTGATACGCTTAGGCGACCTGCCATATGGGGTCCTCGTAAAGAATCAGTTGACAAGGCTGAGGGGCCAAGCGCGGAGAGCAAGCGGGTTAGTTTCACGGAGGTGAGTTTATCTCTCTAGTCACAAAGCAAACGACAGCCTGAATGACAATGTCTTCAGGATTCCTGAGTACATATTACCTGCATCTTCGACTTCGCGCTTCCATCAACTGCAATCTCATGTTCGAAACGAGGGACTGTACAGCAACGACTTGTATTATTGCACGCCCATCAGGAGGGGGGCTCGTAAAGTATGACAAAGCGAGAAAACAACAAGCTTCAAGCACTCTACGCGTCCTTGGGCATCGCAATGATCTGGGCACCGAGCAAGTTGAAGGATATGTACTTAGCCTTCGCTCCCTTGTTGCTCGTGTACAAGGAAACCGTGCTGTGGACGGCAACTAACGAGCCCTGAGGGATCTCGCGATTCCAGCGGGTGTCAGGCTTGCGGGTTTGGGTTAAGACCTCCTTCGCCGTGAGCATGCGCTCATTCTCGTTGGACTTCAGGAAGTTCTCCGTCGAGTTGAAGACAGGAACTGTCGTGATGACATGAGCGGCTTAACTAAATTGGGGAAATTTGATACGCACTTGTGTCCGTGCCCTCATGTGGCCGACGCTCAAGATCCGCATGCACAGTGCCAGGAGGGATAGCACGGGACGACTTTGCCAGGAAGTTGTTGCCGAGCCCGGTCTCTGAACAATCATATCAGTGCCAGACCGTCGATGCATGAGGCACCTGTGTGCTTACTCTTCTTCTCGGCGTTGCCCTCTTCATCGACAGCTGTATGCTTTGTCGAGAACGTTATCGCACCATCCTCCGTAACGACGAGGTTCAAGATCTTGCCACCCCACACCATCGAGATGACGGAGAGAGCCCGGTCGCAGTCCTGCTGGATGAGCAAGAGCTCGAGCTCCTTGAGAAGGCGAGTGCCGCCCTGAGCAGTCTTGTACGTGCGGCCCTCGATGATGTTGCTCGAAAGAACAAAGGCAAGTAACACGAAGTCGACGGCCTCCCCGGACGCCGCGCCTTTAGGGCAGAGAACCCAGCCCGTACCCGCGGGCTTGAAGACAAGATCCTTCGGGGAGGCGTGCGCGCCCATGACCATGTACTCCTTCGACAGGTTCTTCGAGGTTGCCAAGCACTGTATCCGCCTTCGGGAAGTGATGCGTGTCAGAAAATTCCGAGGTAGCGAGGAAGGAAAGTACTTACGAGGTGTCCAAAGGTATGAACTGGTCCTCGTTCTCGATGACGTCGAGGTTTGCGGGCTGAAGCTCGCGAGTGGTGTCGATGACAGCCGCCCTAAGAGAATGATTAGATACACTCGTACATGAGCTCAACAGCGACGTACTTCAGGACAGGGTCGCCGTTGTACAGACCCCACATTAAGCTGCTCTGCTTGTCCACGTGGGTCACCTCGCATCCAGCGAACTGAGGATCAACGAGTACCGGCTCCTCCGGCTCCTTCGGCTCCTCCGCCTTCTTCTTGCCCTTGCTCCTGAACATAAGGCTGTCCTTGAGCACCTTCTTGTCCTTCGTGTTTGCGTCGACGTTGACCTTAGGCTTCGCCTTGGATTTCTCCTTGGCAGTGTTCTTCTCGGTCTGAAACACGATCAGGCAATGTCAGAAAGGAAGATGAGACAGGCGAACCGCAATGAAGGCCGGCCCAACGCCGGACGCCCTTGCCTTGCGCGGGACGCGTCTTTGTTCAGCCAGCTGTTCCAGTGCAGCGGCCTTGCGCGCAGCGCCGCGGACCTTCAGATCCACCCTAGCCGTGTACCCGATAGCCTTGATGGTCTTGCTACCGTCCTTGTGGACGATGACACGGCTATTTGTTTGATCAGTATTTGCAATAAGGGGGCCTGAACACATCACTAACCGCTTAGTGGGCGCAACGTCCTCGACGTCGGACAGGTTCGCAGCGGCACTGTAAGTGGGAGGTCAGTGGTCTGTAACGGGTACGAGACCCCAAATCACGAAGCACACGCAAAGGTGACACAAGTCACGTTCACGCTGCCAAGCGCTTTGGGGGTGGGGTATGAGGGGGGCGCAGAAGTTGAGAGGAACGCACCGTTTCTTCCCCGGCTTGGATATCTTGGTGGGGAGCGGGCTAAGGTATCTTGTCAGCGTATGAGCAGATTATAAGACATGATTTGCGCACCTGGAGTCCGGCTGCTCGCCCTCATCCTCATCGACGTCCATGCCATCACCGCTGTCCTCGCTTTCCTCCCCGGCGTCATCAATAAACCCCTTCAAGTTACCGTTGTCGTCCTCGTCGTCTGACGACTCGTCAACCTCCATGCCGTCCTCCTCCTCCGCCTCCTCCTCCTCCTCCTCCTCCTCCTCCTCCTCTTTGTCCTCGACATCGTCTTCTCCACGCCCATCGCGCTGATCGTCACGATCACCCTCACCCTCACCCTCATCTCCAGTCTCCGCCTCTTCCGCCCCGTCCTCGTCGTCGACGACATCCTCCATCACGGCGTCCTCACTGTCTTCGTCGACGGGGTCGGCGCTGGCATAGCCTTCGTCGTTATGGAGGGTGCCGTACTCGACAACTTCGATATCCGAATCGGAGTCTTTCGGAACGGGACCGCGACGACGCGAGGTGCGAGGTATGAGAACCCTGTACAGGTTGTTAATGAATGAATGCCCGCCAAGGGTTTAAAAATAACGTACTGTACTTTGCGCCTGATGGGACGGCTGAAAGAAAAGGTGATGGTCAGCGAGTGGACGTTTCAATGGGACCGTGATGCTTACGGGGACACACGACGGCGACCGGCAACCTTCTTTGCCTCCACGGGAACGACCCTGCGATGCGCGGTCAACAAGGTAGAAATATAACTGCATAAAGGCGTACTTCTTTTTCGACGGACCCGCTTTGACCGGCCCAGCCGGTGTGGGAGACACCTCCGGTTTGTTCAAGTCGGAGGGACGCACACGGCTCTTGCTGCCCAACTTCGTTAGCGATAGCATATCCAAAGCGAAAAGAACGCGGCGTACGTGGAGCCGTCATACTTCAAGGAGCCTTTGCCGCCGTTCTTCGTGCTAAAACAGTGTCAGTCATGCTTGGGCAGTATACATGGTTGAGAGCTTACCGGAAGACAGCGTCGACGTCAGGCTCTTCTGCCTTGATAACCTTAGGAGAGACCTTCTTAGACTCCGTGGCGACCCTGCGTGCCGTATGAGTGATGCTCTACTGATAAAAAAAAGGAGGAGACTGACTTCGTGCTAGCACGAGACGAGCGCTTGGTCGGAGCCGGTGGCGCAACGGGTGCTGCGGCCTTGGGGGTGGACTTCGAACGGCGAGGAGGCATGTTAAGTGCAAGAGATGACTGGTTGATGGAAAAAGACTGGCAGTTAAGTGCTGGGGTAGGATAACGTGTAGGAGGTCCTTCGGTTGCCGCCCTGAACGGTTGAGGTTTATATAGCTTTCTCGCCATACAAGGAAGACACGACTTGCCGAAATATTCGTGGACTGGACGCCAAGAGCATGAGTAATGGCGCTGTATGATATTCGGAGCGTAATTCCGGTTGTTCGTCGCTGGCCGGCGAAGTGAGACGAGAAGAGGAGGGGTGACAACACCAATAGTAAGCCGCCCCCTGGCCGAGATGCCAGAAAGAATCAGCGTATATACGAAGCAGTGCCTGCGGGAGATACACGCGGTAGACTCAGGCGCGTATGGCGGCCGAGCGTCGGACGGGACACAGGTGGCTGGCAGGGATGGGACAAGACGGATGGCAAACTACTGTAAAGCGTGCTGTGAAGGAACAGTCGCAGCTTCTGCCTTGTCAGGTAGCGTTCACACTCTGAGATGCTGATAGGAGGCCTAGAAGAGAAGATTTATCTGACTTTGCTATGTATAGCGCGAATTGGTGAGACATTGCTCAAAAGTCACTATACAATCATACTCACCATCGATGTCGCGAACTTACATGTCTAGGCATGCGATGAGTACCGTCGCCTATGCCTATGACCGATGGCCCAGGGTCTCTTCCGTCGCAGTGTGTTGCTCGAGCGGCGGCGCCGAAGTGAGTTATTCTTGAGAGGATCCGCACGGAGTTGTAAAATTTGACGATTGTACGCGTAGACGGATTCCTATTGGTCGTATTGAGCATCACAGACACATTAGCTGATATGTCTGCCTGGTTACAACGGGCGCTGTAGGCGGTAGAACCCGGGCCGAGGGTTCTGCGCGGCGGCGGCGAAGTCCAGGTTTAGCCGCGAGGCGGGACATCAATATCGACGACGAGTATGTGTGGCAACGCGAGTCTTGGCACACTGTCAGCAGTACTGACAGTGGTACTGACAGACCTGCGGACCACGTCTGTGAGGTCGTGAACGATGCGCTACATAAGCCTGGAACCTACTGTGATCCGCTCAACGTTCTGCTACTTCCGCCCTTTCACTCTGCGTCTCCCAAACCACCTTTCCCTCTTGTCGATATGTCTCAAAGCGTCTCCATTGCCTCCATTCTCCGCGACCCGGCGCTGTACACCCTCGTCCAAGATCAGATCGAGGAGGCGACTCTCAAGATCTCCGCCTGGGAGCAGCTGAAGGCCCTGGCTCACGTATGTGCACACCGTATCGCGTATAACATGGCCATACTGACTGAAGAGCAGCGCGAGACCGTTCTCGAAAACTACTTGTGGGAGAAGGACTCCGACGACGTCCTTATGTTCTGTCATCGCGGCTGAGAGGTCCGCGAGGCGACATTCTGGCTGTCTGGAGTTCTCGCTCGTCACTCGATGATGCCGTACTCGTCCTTCCAAGCGTACGTCCCTATCTTCATTCAGCAATCCCGCTCTGAAGCTGACGTCGACCACCAGGTTCAATGCCAGGGAGCGGGATGACGTGGTACCACCGGGGAACCAGTACGTTGCGCTCATGGGCCCCGAGGTTCCCGATTTCAATGCATGCCTGCGTGCCATCGACAATATCTACGTCATGGGACGCCTGCGGCTCGCTGAGGGTGAGCTCAAGCCCCAGACAGGCGTCGAGATCGACGGCACAACGGCTATTGTCGCCGGAACTCCTGTCGGGACCCCTCGAGGGCGCATGCTTGATGGTGACGAGCCTCTGTCGCTTAGCGAGGACCAGGATCCGCGTGGCATCGTCACGAAGTGGCTGGCGCAGCGCGGACAAGTCGTTCTTCCTGAGAACCAGGTTGACGTCTGGCTTGCCTCGCGGAAGGGCGAGTGAGTAAACTTGTTCTTCACCTATAGCTGGGCACTTACTTTGAGTTAGGGCGGGTGAATACGAGTTTCACACCGACAAGCCTGCTGGAGCGATCCTGCGCGCCGGCCAGATTGTGCTTTGCGAAGTGGGGTTCCGCATCGTTCCCGCGGGCAAGGAGTCCAAGGTCATGCGCACCGAGCTCAAGACTGTTGCGATTGTCAACGCTAACCTCACAAGTGTACGTGGTTGACATATACAGCGTTGCTTAAAGTACTTACCATATCCCAGGAACTGGCCTTTGCGCAGAACGACGCAAATAACATGGCTGGCGTTGGCAAGAACATCATCTCTATTTCTAGCGCTGGCCCATCCGGCCTCACCATCAAAGAGAAGGCGAGAGTGAAGCGTGCCCCTCGTGTTCATCGCAAAGGCAATGCCAGGGAGGAGCCCATGGACGCGTTGCCCTTTGCGTCGTAATTGTCTTTACTGCCGTTGATCTCTATCCACCGTACTCCTATTCTCATAGCCTTCATTCGCACACATTATTAGTTTAGTGTAACGAGGGCTTAATGACTGTCTGCTTTTACCTATATGAAATATCAATTTCCGTTTGGAGTGATGTCGGGAGAGAAAACGAACCCTACCACGAATGTCCGTAGCTTGAAATCGGCAGCCAAGATCTCGTTGAGCAGCAGACGCGCAATACGGATCACTTCGACTTCGGATGGAGCAGACACAATCTGTGCGCAATGTTCGCACAGACTTGAGCTTGTGGCGATGGAGCTGCGCCAACAGCGCATGGTGGGAGACTGAAACATGCGAGCGGTGCTGGGCGATAGCATGCTTCTAACCGGCTGTCCAACCGATATACTTGCTACCCGCTTGCTGGATCATGGCGGGCTACTGCAGAACTCCGTGTATTCAAAGGCACCACGTAGGGTCTCAAGCAGTATACTGCGAAATAGGATGATGTATTTGTATGATAAACATGATCGGGCTGTACATGAGAGAGATCTGTGCATCGATGGTGCTGGAGAGTGGAATCGGGTTAGCCCATAGTAGAGAAGCAAGCGGAAGTCGGAGCCGAGTGAACAGTACGCAAATTATGTGCGTACCAGAATTCAGCGGCCTGCACCCGCCCATTCTCCCCTCGCGCTCCCTTCCCATTCCTGAGGCAACTTCGTCCGGGAGAACATGCAGTATCTTGTAAGGGCGCGCCGGATCGGATCCTCTGTTACAACCTAGCAGACAGTGAAGGTGACACCAGTCACGTTCACGCTGCTTCGGCTATAGCGACGCGGGGAGTGTGCTGACACAGCCGGACGACAGAGATGAGAGTTGAGTCCAAGAACGCGTCGCGTGCGCGCCTGAGATGATCTCTCCAAAACACGGTCACGTGGGTTTGCTGAGCAAGGAACAGACATGCAATATAGGTAAGAAATAACAAGATAGAACTACATCATATATACATAGCATATCCTTTACAGTCAGCGTCAAATCATACAGCAATTGCTGCGTCTCTAGGCCGATCGTTCCAGAGAATGCGAATGTGCTCATCGGGGACGCCGGCGGCGGCCAGTGCCTGGCGTGGCGGCAACGAAATATATCCCGTGCACATAGCGGATCCACAGCAGCAATTGTTGTACGTATCTTTCTTCTCGGGGCGGTTCTTGCGTAGCGCCAGTCTCTGTTCCTGAGCGGGAACTCTCAGCGGGCAATGCGATAGGCCACTCAGATGATTGAACGTACCTTCGAGAGCCCACACATATCCCAGTAAGAGAAAGTTAAATACTCGCCTTTCCGAATGGTCCTGAGAGCCAAGAACAATGGTACAGGCGGATTTAGAGGATCACACCCGATGCGCGCGTAGAACGACTTCAGAACGGGATCGCAAGAATGATTCTGGGAACGCTAAGTCAGCCGTGGATTCGCCAATATGGTGAATGTCACGTACGATGTAACGAGTGAACTTGGCAAAAGCATCAGCAGTGACTGATTTAGAAGAAAGGGGAACTACTCACGTTACCGCGCTTGAAAGCATCAACAAAGACCCGGTAGTCCAACGTATTCTCGTTCGCGATGATGCCCAAGCACTCCTCGTCGTTGCAGCACTCTAGAGGGTGAAACACACCACCGCACATGGTGTATGCCTCGGGCCCAATGGCCTTCTGAAACTCCGGTCCGTCGTCAGGCAAGTCGCAGGAGAGGTTTGCGAAGCTGAGCGAGTGTTCGATGGCGCCCGTGTCTTCCGTCCAACTGGGAGCGATATGCCCCTCCCATTGAATGAGAAGGCTCCTCGAACCAGAGGTTTCAACTCTTCCCGCAAGAATACGATCTATACGGCAAAGTCCGGCTCCAGTAGGCCCCTCATCGACGCTCATTGCGCTGGCCGCGTCGTCGTCTTGCGCGAAATCGCGGGACGCAAGTGCCTGATACGCGCTGACACCGAGGACACCTTTCTCAGCAATCTCCACACATCTACGCAAACCAGTCAGATAATGGACCTGGAAAATAGTGTAGTACACGCACCCAGCCAGAGCAAACAGTTCCAACCCCATCATAAGCTCCCCGGCGTAAAGCCCCACACACCATCCGGCTTTGATCTCCTTCTTGGCGCGCACACCTAGCAGAAGTCGGCTGGATGCATAGGCAGAGGTGTAGTAATTGACGCACCACATCCAAGATTGTCGTGCTCGACTACACACACAGAATCCTCGCGCGGACTGACATTGTGCTACGGAGAGCTCTCAGTTCTCGTCGGTGCTGAAGTATGAAGGGACGCACCATGCATTCGCAGCGTCGCCCGCCTCCGTGACACGCAGGCGTACAGACGGGCAGTAGAGGATACGCATTCCTCTGGCATTCGCAACCCGACCGCACCTTGCAACCAACGCGATCCTTCTTGCACGGTTTGCAGCCGTCGAAGTCGCAATCCCGCGTTGGATGATAGCTGATGTTCCCCTCGCAGGTGCACCCCTTATGAGGCTGACAGAGGCCCTTCTTCGCAGAGCAAGTGCAGCCCTTCAACAATGCGTCCCCGGGCTTGTAGGAGACAAAGATTTCGGCTCCAGTGCGGTGGTTGCGGTAGACGGGGACGGCCGCGTACAGATCCGAGGCTGTCTTGCGAAAATACTGACTTGAAGGCTCCATAATGAGGTTGGGCAGTGAAGCAGATACAGTTAGAATACGGGAAGCCCAGTAAGAAACGGGAGGATCCCAAAGCGTATCGATGCGGTGAGAGGCAGAGGACGACGCGGCGGCGAAGTGAGAGGGCGCGTGGCAATAAGCGAGAGATCAGCGCGACTAATTGGTCACTCAATTACGCTGCGTGAACTTTCAAACCACAGATCTGGACGGTCTGTTTAAGTGCAAGCCAGCGCCTCCTTCAAGGTATATCTTGAGAAGAGCATAATACACAGTACGGGGTACAATCCAATTTCTGGCGCAAGCCGCAGCGTCATGCGGCGTGACATAACCGCGCGTCTGGTCACAATGGGGGCTTGCGACGCACTTTGAACCGAACTTCCATCAAGTGGATATGCCAGGTGCAACATATCCTCCCAGTACACAGGCAAGCTTGACAATGAGTATTTCATGGTATCTAGACTCATCTATGTTAGACTGCCGGTCCCAGTAAACCTTCGTGGAAAGGACAAGTAGCTAAGGTGTCTCCCCGGCCTCCAGAGAGCAAGCGCCCACGGCCAAAGCTAAGGGACTGGCGGGAGGGGACATACAAGACAGGCATGCCGTGTTTCAACTGTCGCAAGGCCAAACGAAAGTGTGAACGAAGTGGAGAGACACCGTGCAGGTGAGATCTTCCGTTAGCCTAAGTGTGACATAGCTGACATGGACATGGCATAGTAACTGCGTGCAGCGGAACCTACTATGCGTCTGGCCAACGCGTAGCTTCCAAGGGTACAGAGCCGACTTGCCTGAGAAGGGGGAAACGAACCCCAGTCAAGATCATCGGGAGGACGTGTGTAAGACGTTGCGAGAGAATGGAGAAGGCCTGAGGTACGTTCCCATTCGTAACAAGCACATACCATGTTCATATAGCTCGCAGACTACCTTCCGGATACTTGGTCCAGCCGAAGTCATAAGCGGGAGACAAGATCATGTAGATACTTAGATCAAAGGACACATGTGCATATGTACCCGATATAGCTTATAGTCCCGTCGTTGGTGGTATCCCGAGTACAAAATAGAAATCCAAAGCTTACCAAACGCATACATGCGCTAAGAAATACAGCCTGGGTGCGCGGATGGTCCCGCGTGGGTCTTGGTGCTCACGGTGGTCAGTACTGCGGTGTATGCAGATACCCGAGTGACAGCAGTCACAAAGAGCCTGCAGGCACTACAGTAGCACAATCAGGCATCAGGAAAGTAGACTAGCATACTTGATAGGGAAGGGAAGGCATGATGGAGGAAGGCAAGCTAGGGAGAACGGAGCGAGCTGTGCGAGGAGAGAGAACGGTGATGGCCGAAGGGCGGAGTTCCCACGACCCATCCGCTGGTCGCGACTTCTGGGCCAGCGGATGGGTCGTGGGAATCTCGGCCTCGGCCATCACCGCGGGTCACCCTGGCTCAAGTACTGGTTGTGGCGTACATACCTCCTCTTTCCATGAGTG